ATCACCTTCCTTTTAATCTGGAAAAAAATTTTATGCAAAAATACACATAATTCATTTGAAAATTATTAAGTAATTAAAAATGCAAACCAGAGCATATATGTATTCGGTAGTTTTTATTTTTTTCATTTTTTATTTTTTTAAAGATTTTTATTTATTTATTTGCCAGAGAGAGAGGGAGAGTGAGCACAAGCAGGGGGAGCAGCAGAGGGAGATGGAGAAGCAGACTCCCCGCTGAGCAGGGAGCCTGATGTGGGACGCGATCCCAGGACCCTGGGATCATGACCTGAGCCGAAGGCAGACGCTTAACGACTGAGCCACCCAGGCGTCCCTATTCGGTACTTTTTAAATGTATAATTAGAAAATGGTAAATAAGAAAATATGGAAACTTGAATTTTTTAAGTCAGGGATTTCATATGTTGAAGGTATTTTTTAAGGTTTATTTATTTATTTTAGAGAGGGTGGGAAGGGGCAGAGGGAGAGGGAGAGAAATCCTCAAGCAGACTCCCTCCTGAGTGGGGAACCTGATGCAGGGCTCAATCCCAGGGCCCTGAGATCATGACCTGAGCCAAAACCAAGAGGCAGATGCTTAACTGTCTGTGCCACCCAGGCTCTCCATGTTGGAGATTTTTTAAAAGAATTTAAGTGAGAAACTCTGCTGAGAACTAATGTCTGAAAATAGAGTAAAGTCAGAGTATTTTATTATTTGTAATTGGGATTCCAGCCATCTAATCTGGTATACTCCAGGACTGAAGATATTTGAACTGAAATTATTAATGTAAGGAAATAACAATCTTTTCAATCTCTGTGCCTATTTATTAGAAGGTAGAATATCAACAGGGTAGGTCCTTTGAACCCACAAGTCTTGGTGAGTTATAAGAAAAAGAAAATTATTACTACACAATTTAAATTGGAATGAAATAATCGAAAGAAGTGAGTGAATCACATTTTTATGGGAGAAGGAAGAGGAGACATTTGGAATTACTTTCTCTCTTGAATATATACATATACAGTACACTTATTTATACACGCATATTATTTTATACATATATTTATTTATGCATACATTTATTATTTATTGTTACATATGTGTCACATTATAATATGTGTGCATGTAAATTTTTAGACATGTGTGATTTAGTACCACTCACTTACTAAAATCACCAGGAGAGAATTTCTGAGATAAATGCCCACGTGATACCTAGAATATCTACGTCTCCTTCTCCATTAAGGATGACACAAAGGTTTGGGATACATTGCACTACACTTGATGGGATTTCTTAGAACATAATTTTTTAAAATTCAAAGGTCACAGATGCACCAAAAACAAGTGTATTTTCTTATTATGCCAAGTCCAAGTGTCATATAAATGTTCTGTTTGGGCTGATGGACAAAATGAAGAGTGAATAACATTTAATCAGCTGAAAAGTATCACCAAATAACTCATATTTCAAGATGCCGTGTTGCAGACAGATTTCCCTGGTAACAGCTTTCTTTGTGTTCCGTAGAAACGTGAGAAAATAAGGTTGACATGTTCCAGTTTGTGGATTCTCAAAAGAGCTGGTCTCAGTGGTTGCATCTGACAGACAACCGTGGGGAGCTCCAGGGAGCTCTGAGTGGGGGAACCTATGGTTTTCCCTTTTGCTCAGCTTCCAAGATCCCCTGCAGCCGCCACCCACTGATTCTGTGGGGAGAGCTAACTGGAGAATCACAAGATGGACTTCACCAGTCACCTTGCCGGGGCTCAGAGCACAGAGCTGTTGGAATAAGAAAAGCAAAGTAAATTTAAACAAATGACTGAGAGTTGTAGAAAACCTCCTAGTCCTGTCAAACTATTCATGAATTCCTCAATGCTGGAAAATGGTCAAGAATGTTTCATACATAGGATACATTTACTACCCAAATGTCTTCTTTTTTACTGTCTCTCAAATTAATTCTCTTGCCTCATTCCACAACTTCCCTTCTCATTCTTCTGCTCAGAAACTGTGAGTGGATTCTCATGTCCTGCCACCTCAACTATTTCCTTGTTTCGTGGAGTTCAGTGCCAGCCCCAGGCTGGTGTCTTCCTGGCATCCCACAGCACTCCCTGCATCCCACCCCTGGGAGATGCTCTCTGCAGGGAGATGCCATTCTCTGCATGCCTCTTGTCTTCTCCAGCCTCCCATGCTGATCCATCTTCAGAGCCCTCATCCATGTGGCCTGCAGGCATTCTAGACTGTTGGCCAAACAAGCTTTCTGCAAACATTCTCTTAAATTCTGTGTTTTTTCTTTAAAATCCTATAAATCTTGAGGTGCCTGGGTGGCTCAGTCAGTCAACCTTCTGACTCTTGATTTCTGCTCAGGTGATGATCTCAGGGTCATGGGATCGAGCCCCACGTGGGGCTCTGTGCTCAGCGGGGGAATCTGCTTGAGATTCTCTCTCTCTTCCTCTTCCCCTCCCTTACCCGCCCCCGCTTACACACACACGTGCACATGTACAGTCTCTCTAAATAAATAAATAAAACTTTTAAATGAATAAATGAATGAATCAATAAAATCCCATAAATCTTATATTCTATTCCATAAATTATCTAAGTCTGATTATGAAAATAATAATAATGCCTCCACCCACATACCACTAGTCTTGGGTAAATTTAAGGGCAAAGATGTCCCACCATCTAATGCACTGATGCCTGCTCTTTTCCCCCCAACCCTATCATACATGTACCCTGCTTTAAGAAGTATGGACCCATTGCATCTCAAACATTTTCGAGTTTAATCATGTTCTAATTGTATGGTCCACCAGTTTTCAAACTTCTTAAAATCAGTTTAGTTGTTATCTCTTCCAGAACTAATTAATTAACTCACTCCACTTCCCAAGGAGGCTGGTTTCATGGCCTTCCTGTGGGCTTCATAGGAAGCCTTATTTTTTATATTTCACCTTATTTATTCCTGTGAGTTTCTCCCTTGTTAGTCCATGAGATCCTCAAGGAACACAGCACAATGCTTATTACTAAATATCAGTTGAGGTGAACAGGACTGAAATTCTTTCCTCAACCAGTGTTTAGTCCAGTAAATATTGGCTATTACTACCACAGAAGAGTGAGCAGATATATCTTCAGAACATATAGGTGACTTCATAACCTAGAATAAAAAAGACATTTGCATGACAAGAAAGCACTTAAGCAAATTTTATATTCTGTACAATTTATAGGTATAAGGAAAGTCTTACTTGATACAGTTTAAAGTTTCAAAAATGTAGATATTTAAAAATAAAATAAATGCACAGGGAAGTTTTCTCTATCCATCATAACTCCTTTTGGAGAAATATATTTATTTTAATACTCATTATTGTTATAACCATAGGCTATCTAAGATACAAAATAATTTTTCTATTATTTCTATGTCTATATTTAGCATAATTTTATATTTTAGAAAGGTGTTATTTTCCATTTTGCCATAACAAAAGAATAGCAATTTTTTAAATGTGTGTTTTTATAATGCCAATGAAATAGAAATTTAAATGAGGGGCTGTGCCTTTCATAAATGCTTTGCCATCTGTCAGTCAAATAAAAACTACAATGTGATGATTATCAACACACTTGTTTATTGAAATTAAAGGCCAGCAGTCTTAGTCAATCATGATGCTTTCAGCTATATTTTCCACCCTACCTGCAAAACAGAGCTAGAATTTGACCATTTCTTAGCACTCAGACTCCCATTACTCCCATCCAAAGCTACCATATTTCTTTTGCCCCTGGACCATCTCAGTGGCCCCTACCTGATGTCCCTGCTTCTGCCTTTGGGCCCTGACAATCTGCTCTCCACATGGCACATACAGGTGTCTTTAAACAAGTGTGTTCGGTCACCCCTCTTGGTCTCATCTTCCTCAGGGTCAACCCAGTGCCCTTACAGTGGCTAAAAGCCCCTGCTGGACCCAGCCCCACTCTGCCTGGCAAGCCCTCTCATCGCCTCTCTTTCCTTCACTGTACTCTAGCCACATTGTTCTCCTTACACTTCCTTGGGACTTGCTATAATTCCCTCATGGCCTTCGGTCTCTGCCTGAATGTCCCCTAACCATGGTACCCTGACCCACCGCCTTCACACCGTCCCACACACTACATCTTTTTCTCCTGCTATCTCTTCTTTATGGTTCTTATTCCTGGGGAGGATCCCAGTTTTTGAGGAGCTTAAACCTTATACATTGTGGTGGATCGTCTTTAAGGATCTAAATTATAACTAGAAAATTGTTAGGTCCTTCTCCAGATAAAGCTACCTCTGTTCTTCACTACTGAAATGGTCCCATTGGCTGGTTTCCTTATTTAACTTCTGATTCCTCTCCAGGTATGTGGGCTCCTTTGAGGGAGGGGCTTCGTTCATCTTATCCACCTCTGGGCCCAGCTCCTGACAGACTAAGCACTCCATAAACATTATCCAATGAGGGACTGTCTCATCAGTACAACAATGAAAGTTTTGGGGGTAATATATGTGGGCTTCTTATGTGCACATTCTAAGATACTTTAATAATTTCCAAATAGCAAAGTCATGTATCTGCCTTACAGGGTTTGCATTTTCAGAATTGATGTGTTTATCTAAAATTCTCTTTGAGATGCTGAGCAATATATGAATTTAGCTTTGTCATTCACAAATATGTTGATTGAGTTCAATCTGGAACATAGTAAGGGAGACTCTTATTGCAGGCATTCTCTGTGATTGCCGCTACTTTGTGATGTTGTATTCCGTATCTACAAGGACAGCACAAACATTACGCCAGATAATAGAAACCATTAGACTTCTTTGGAACACGGTGAGTGTGTCTGAGTGGGGTCTTCGGAAAAGGAATGTATAGAATCGCTTGAAATTCTTTCTTGTTAAAAAAAGCAAAAGTGGGGGCCTTACCTGGGTGCTCTTGAAAAGGAGTGTTGAAGCTTACCTTTGGCACCCAGCAGTTCTGAGAACCGAGTTGAGATGCAAGGTGTCGGCCTCGGCCTCTGGATGGAAGGTTCTGAGGCTCTTTGGCCTCTATGCCGGCTTCATCGGTGGGCAGCAAGATTGTCAATGTTCATCCATGTAGACTGACTGTGGTTCATTCTGGGACAGGGAGATGTCTAGAAGAGTTCACTGTTCGTGATCAGTTAGCAAAAGAGGGGATAGAAAGGGCCAAGGACTATGGGAAATGTAATGTTTGTGGTGTTTCAGGTAACTTGTTTTTTTTTTAAAGTGTCCCATAAAATGCATCACTGTGTGGAATCATGATTCACATTCAGACTAAAATAAAGGTCTTTCTCCCCTCTTTTCTTTATTTCTTTAAAGAATGGGATCATGAGGGTGATGAGAAGTGGAGTCGAATTGCTATAAAATAGATCATTTCGGAGATTTTCATAAGAAATGGTTTTCTTTAACCAGGGTTACAGCCAGGAACCTATTACCAATCCATAACCTAATACAATATCAGCTACTTCTCTAAAATTGAGGATAGTAAAAAAAGAAAAATGTCCAGAAGCACCCTTCAAGATGATCATGTTGTTATAGGTATAGGCAGATGCCTTGGTGATGGTCCTGGATGCTGCCTGAGGACGTGTTGAACGGGGCAGGAGCTGGGTTTGGAAATATGTACAAGGTGACAAAGATCTCGAATGTGGGGATCTTTTACACTGGGAAGAAAAGGGAAATCAAACAACAGTAATAATGTATTCGCAGACTTGTTCATCTTTTCCATATGTTCAAAAACCAAGTAGCTTTCTGCTAGACACAGATGGACATGAAGCCGGAACTCCTACATCAGGGCACAGGACTAGCACCTGGGAAATCTGCGTGAGACTAGAACCTCTGCAGTCATTCAGTTTATTTTATTTTATTTTATTTTTTTAATTTTATCTATTTGACAGCGAGATATAGCGAGAGAGGAAACACAAGCAGGGGGAGTGGGAGAGGGAGAAGCAGGCTTCCCGCAGAGCAGGGAGCCCGATGCGGGGCTCGATCCCAGGACTCTGGGATCATGACCTGAGCCGAAGGCAGACGCTTAACGACTGAGCCACCCAGGCGCCCCAGTCATTCAGTTTATTACTGGTTAGATCTTTTGTTACTGGTTGCATCATTTGCTACAAGTTGCATTTTTAAATCTGTTCATTAGAAGCTAATTTGTTAAATCAAAACATGGTCTTTCTCTCTTTTTGCTTAATAATTCTCTCTATATTTCAGAAAAGGATTTTCTTTTTTTTTTCTATTTAGTATCACCTCAAAACTATTTTTCAATGCCTTTTTTTTGATCAATTAATTTACCATAACAAGAAAAACCACTGCACTTCCGTTCTTTTTAAAAATACAGATTAATTAATTCCTGTACTTCCTTGGAAATATATCTAGCAAAATATGTCATGGGTACAATATTGATGCAGCACCCTTTGATATTTTTTAAATGACTACAGTTCATTCTAGAATAAATATGTTCCTTATTTAATCTCATTAGTTATACACTAGATGAGATTAATGATCTATTAGATAATAAACAGTCTACACACTAAACAAAATTTATGAAGCTATAACTCTGAATTGTATACCTTTCACTGACTCTATCATATGTTATATATCATGCTCTTACTAAGTTAATTCATATATTGACCAGGCAATAAGTCAACTAAGAATATCCTTTAACAAGTTAATACAGTGGTATTTCCTTGACAGATAATATTTGTTGAGCTCTTTGTTAAATAATTCACATTTGAAGTTTCATTGACTCCTGAAAACAACCCCATGAGACAGGTTCACATTTTCTTCGTGTTTTACAGACATTTAAGTAACTTGCCTCAAGGGACACAGGTTTAAGAGAGGGAGAATGATTTGGACCTTGCTGCTCCAGCCTCATAGCTAGGACCCCCTCCGAACACTGCAATACCCTTGCTCTCTAACACATAATTTAAAAAGAAACATAATCCATCTTGGTTCACCTATGGAATGGAGAAAGTAGATCGTTTTGGACAACTATAGAGATAAATTTTCTCTCAAAATTCTCAAAAATAATTTCTTTTTTTTTTTTTAAGATTTTATTTATTTATTCATGAGAGGCAGAGAGAAACAGAGGGAGAAGCAGGCTCCCAAGGAACGGGAAGCCCGATGCGGGACTCGATCCCAGGACCCTGGGATCATGACCAGAGCCGAAGGCAGACGCTTAACCATCTGAGCCACCCAGGCGCCTTCAAAAATAATTTCTACCTTAAGACTAAAAAAGAATTTAGCCTTTATCAGTTGTACCTCTGGGTTGCTCGAGGCAACTACAGATACCCACATCAATTCAAACTATCTGGAAACACTGACTGCTTAACTGGCTTTACTCTAAGGGTCAGGGATGGAATTCAGTGAGGTAAAATATGTATTTTACAAACTGTGATAACTTTGTAGTTTCTGCATTAAAATGGAAAAGTGAGTTTCAGTTACCCCTGGTTCAGCCTCTGGCTTCACATCCACAAACTTTGTATCTTCCAGTAGCTTCTTAAGCAGAGAAAATTACGTAATTTTTAAACACCAGTAGGGAATAGAAAACAACTATATCTATTTTTTATTGTTTAAACTAATACCATTGAAAAATAACAGTTAATTAAGAATTTACTAAAATCATTGAGTCCAAGATTTTAGTCAGCTTTCTGTGAATCATTTTGCAGACACTGTGAGTTGATTGCTTACAAATATGTAAAGTGAGAGGAGGTGTGCTGTATATTATTAATCCTGCAGTCCATTATTAAAATTTACAGATGCAGCTTAGTTTCTCTTAGCACTAACCAGAAGCCCAAAGACATATCCACTTTGCTTAAAACCAAGTAGATCCTTGAGAGGTATGGAAATGTTTACCCAGGTCCTTAGCTATTTAAGGATCTTATTTAATCACCAATAGGTTAAAAAGAAGGCTACTCCAGCCTCTTCCTTCTTCCCCTGCTCAGTTCCAAATTCCTACTCATTTCAGATGCACAGTAGCTGAGCAATCTTTTATTGCCAAGAACACCTGTAGCCCTTGCCCTCAGCATCTCACTATCCTTAAAGCAACTTTTCCTAGCATTTCTCTAAATGAAAATAGGTACCCCCAAGAGGAATTCTATTCCCTGGTAAGGTGCTCTGTAACCCACTATCCATCATCATCATCATTATCATTTTATGAAGACTGCCATGAGCTCGCAAACACTGCTGTAATTGGATGTGTTCTAAATTATTAATTGATGTTGATATCAATTTAATGATAATAGCTAATTCATTGGTAAATATATTTTATTCTTAATGCAGATAATGTTAAGAGTAATAAGTTCACTAAGTGGCAAGGCCCCCCCCTTTTTTTTTGCAACAGGTGATATTGCATTACCTGCATTTTTTCTTGTGCTTAATTTAATTGCCTATCCATTTGTTTCCGGATTTAAAAGGCTTCTATGTATTCTGCCTTGTAATGAAACGACAAAGAAGAAAACCATTGTATTTTACTCTTGAATGATTTTTAGATACTTTTACTTCCAGAGTTTAAATTGTGAAAACAGTAGGTTACTGTATGGCAAAGGCGTGGAGGCAATTTTCACTCTCTCCTGATAACATACTGGGTGAGCTTCACTGATTCTGTGCACATGCATCCCAACCTTCATCCCCAAAAGACTGTCGGTGTCAAGTTGAAGAATGCCCTCTCTCTAAACGACCTGAAAGCACAGGCAGAAGGGCATCGTTTTGCTTTGTTTGGTTGGTTGATCTTTTTATTTCTCCTGCTGGGGGTTCATCAGCCTCCATCTTCCTTACTTCTTGGGGACTACTCTCTCAATCTAGATACCTGAAGTTTAGAGCAAAACATAGAAATAAATGTGAGCTATTGACATAGGAACAGCTGACTAAAGTGGACCATCTATCAAAGAATCATTTAGTTAGTGAATTTATGGTTGTCTACTCAAGTTATGTATGAAAAGACGTTTCCAGTCATTCCTTGAGCCTGTCAAGTTCAGGAAAGTAGCAGATCGGAAATTTGTTCATTCCAGATCTAATTCAAGCTATTGTTTTCCCTATCTGTATTTCAACATCGATGGCTTTTATTCAGTCATTGGTATTAATGTAAGTAAATCTGAATCACAAGTCAGTTTTAAAAGGGAAGGCAACACAATGAAATACCACTATAAACTATTAGAATGGCCAAAATAAAAAAAAAAAAACAATAACAGTAAATGCTGGCAATGATATGTAGCAACAAGAACTCTCATCCATTTCTGATAGGAATGAAAAATGGTACAACCTCTGTGGAAGACTATTTGGCAGTTTCTTACAAAACTAAACATACTCTTACTATACAATCCAGTAATTGTGCTCCTTGGTATTGACCCAAAGGATTTGAAAACTTATGTCTATACAAAAACATACAAATGATTATGGATAGCAGCTTTATTCATAATTGCCAAAACTTGGAAGCAACCATGCTGTCCTTTAGTAGATGAGTGGATATATAAAGTGTACTACATCCACACAATGGAATATTATTCATCGCTAAAAAGAAATGAGCTATCACGCCATGAAAAGACATGAGGAAATCTTAAATGCATATTACTAGGTGAAAGAAGGCAATCTGTAAAGACTAGATACTATGTGATTCTAACTCTCTGATATTCTGGAAAAGGCAAACCATGGAGAAAAGAAAAAGATCAGTGGTTTCCAGAGGTTAGGGGAAGGAGGGGATGAATAGGAGGGCACAAAGCATTTTAGGGCAGTGGAATTATTCTGTAGGATACTAGATACTATAATCGTGGATACGTGTCATTATACATTTCCAAGACCCAAAGAATGCACAACACAGAGAGTGAACTAGACTGTAGACTGTGGACTTGGGATGATTATGACATGTCATTGGAGGTTCATCATTTGTAACCAAAGTACCACTCAGTACATGTGATAATGGGGGAGGCTGTGTACATGTGGGGGCAAGTGGAACCTGGGAACTCTCCGTACTTTTTGCACAGTTTTGCTATGAATGTAAAACTGCTCTAAAAATAATGTCTTTTGAAGTAGTAAAAATAATAGGGAGAAGGGAAAAGTAAACTAACATGACAACCAACCACACTATTCTTCCATTCGTCTGATATTTACTAACTTATTACCATAGGGCAGATGTTCTTCTTGTGTGTTTTATTTTATTCTATTTTACATATATTTAGATCTGATATTATATGGCATTTGATTAGCACTGTTTTAATAAATACTAAACACAGACTTTTGAAGAACTCTGTATGAAGATGATGAAGGGAGAAAGGGGAGAGGGTGAACTGGCCTGGAATGATAGCATGTGAGCTAGAATACGGGCCCCACCTGCTGGGCATGGAGTGCCCAATGGGGAGCATAAATGGAAAAGAGATTGTTGGCGGGTTAGTGGGAGAGGCAATAAAGGGGTCATTTCAAAGAAAAGAGTTTCCCCTGATCATTTTTCAAAAAGAAGTTGTACTTTATTAATGTTTAACATAGGTTTGTTTGGAGTCTTATAGGAGTTTAGGGTTGGATATAAGAAGAAACAAGAAGAACTGGGTGCAGGGAGAAGTTAATGGGAGGCAGGATCAGGAGAAAAGCAAAGCAGGGAGTGGAGTGCGGAGGACAGCACCCGGACCCGTCCGCAGCAACCCACAGCGCCCGAAGTCCTGCCATGGATAGAGACCCCGCAAGGGAACTGAGAGTCCACCTCTCACCTTCCCTCCTGGTCCTTTTGGGATGACGGGGTTAGCAGGAGGAGGCAGAACCAATGGCCATCACATTTCACATCTATGAACTCAATTCTCACTAATGTTTGGCTTTAGGATTCCCAAATTCTTAGATCAAATTCAACCCAAGAAGACAAAAGTTTTTTTTATATATGATCCAATGATGCCCCCAAAATAAGAGCAAAAGAAAAGGTTTATCAGCTTAGTTGTGTTTCTCTAAATAGATTAAAATAAACTTGAGATTTCATTATAAATTTAGATATATGGCATTAATTAGGGTCACACTGCAAACACTGTGTTCACATTGTACTATTAAGAATTGATACTGCATTTGTTCTGAATTCATTTTTTTTTAATGCTTTGAAATAATATTTTAATAGCTTAATGCATTAAGTTGTATGAATGGGAAAATAAGTTATAAATTAGGAATACTAACTGTAATCTACAATATAGCTAAATATATAGGTACAGATAAGATGGATAGATTAGATAGATTGGAGAAGTGTCCAAGACCTCCCTTATGAGTAAAAATCAGCTTTCCAAAATCTACAACTTGAAAGGAGGTATGTTAGAAATGTTATCAGTAGGATATGAAAGCAAGTAAAGGCAGTCAAATCTAAGGAGAACACTGGTTTTCTTTTTTCCTTTGTGTGCTCTAAGTCAGTTCAGTCACATTAATTTTAGCAATTGCTCCATAAGAAAAACCCATTTTGGTCTACATAGTGAAAGCTTACTCTCTAAGGCAAAAGTTGTGCCCTGTGTTCTTGCAGATAAGGAGACAAGGAGGCATCCAGCTCCTGGTGGACCTGCTGGATCATCGGATGACGGAAGTCCACCGTAGTGCCTGTGGAGCATTGAGAAACCTGGTGTATGGGAAGGCCAACGATGATAACAAAATTGCCCTGAAAAACTGCGGTGGCATCCCAGCGCTGGTGAGGTTACTCCGCAAGACCACCGACCTGGAGATCCGGGAGCTGGTCACAGGTTAGAATCCTTATTAACAGCACACCTGCCTCCCAAGATAAAGTCTCCATGAGCCAGCACGGTAGCAAACATGCTAACCAAGGATGGTGGGTGCGGGGCGTCTCAGGGGGCTGATAACATGGACAGTCCCGATACGCATGAGCTGAACAAGCGAATTAAAGGGTATCTAATTTAACACCTGTGGATTGACCAAATGAGATCATTAGAATCCAGCAAACATAACCCTTCTAAAATTCTATGACCCAATTTCAGTTTTGTCACTTGATTTAGAAGTAGCTCAGCATCTTACAACACCCACAGGTGATCATTCAAATGGCATTAAATAAGTATTCGTAAAAGGACAAGATATATGAATTGTTATTAATAAGGTATATATTTTGGTTTATAATGTGATGAAGAACAGAGATCTCATTGTACTTCACAGTTAATTTCTTGAAAAAAATATTTATGCCTATTAAAAGTCCCTAGGTTGTAGGATTACATATTAGCGGATTTCTCTCACATATATTTATGTATTTATATATTGTATATTAACATATATATTATGTGCGTATATAATATATTTACATATATGTTTATATTATATTTTTACATATTTACATATAGGGAGTTTCTCGAACGTGAACATGAGAGCAAGCCTTTCTGTGAACACAGAACTTTTGAGTTTTGTAAAGTAGGGGTCACTAGCGTTGCCCCTCATAGTGCCATGAGGATTTGATGAATAACATCTAAGCATTTAGCAGTACCTTCCTCGGCGTATGTGTGAACATAGGAATAACGTGTAAACATTAGCTCTCGCTCTTGCCTCTCATCTTCTAAATGTGCAGTTTTAATTGCTGGAGTGCTAACAATGTAAGTGGCCTCAGGATGGGCTCTCAGAGTACTCTTCTTGATTATCCACATTGTGGTTTTAGGTGATATTTGGTTTTTCATTCATCAGAGTTCCCCTCTAAATGTTCGGCAAATGGATTGCAAGGTTGATTCTCAAAAAAGGATCTCTTAATTCTCTGTGATGCCACTGATCTTGTCTTGATTCCATAACTTCCTTGAAGCTACACTCATGAGATATATGTGAACTTGGTTTTTTTTTTTTTTTTATTTATTCATGAAAGTCAGAGAGAGAGAGAGAGAGAGGCAGAGGCAGAGGGAGAGCAGCAGGCTCCCCGCCTAGCAGGGAGCCCGATGCGGGACTCGATCCCGGGACCCTGGGATCATGACCTGAGCCGAAGGCAGACGCTTAACCGTCTGAGCCACCCAGGCGCCCCGAACTTGGTTTTTTTTTTAAGAAAATACATTACTCAAGCTGAGAGTCATAAATATTTGTCCAGGCTAAGGTTAAGACTCCCAGCTTCAGCCTGTTTTCTTAAATGTACACCCTTTAAGGTTATTGTCACATCTCTTTTCTACTCGCAGCTAAATTAGAACTAGACCCCAGTTACTTTTCTTTTTTGCATTTCTCTAAGTGGAGAATTGTCTTTGTAGAAAAAAAAATTAGTTGTTAAGGTTACAGTGCTATTAAAGTGATGTTTTACACCAAACTAATATGGGTCAGTTAAGGTAAAACTATTGTTATGCACATATTATGATGTGTAGGATAGTTTGGGGGGTGAACTAAATAATTGAAAGTATACCCTACCATTATGGTTGGGAAACCCCATCCCTACATTGAGATTGAGAGAAAGGATTCCATATGTATGATGGAAAACAAACATCGTGGTGCTTCTGTGCATCAGGGCCTTGCCATTGGATGCATAAGGCCAACAGAACACCTTCTGCTGTGCACGTTATGCATCCATTTCATGATTTTAAAAGATCTGGATTTTGCTAAAATTTGGATTTGCCCGGACACAAAACCCTCTGGGGCGGCTTATCTCATTGCCAAGGAAACTCGGCCACATGCAAAAGGCTGAGGTGATTGATGGCTTAAACCAGAAGGAAATAGCAGCAGTAGCTCTGTCCCCTGACCTCATCCACTGCAGCATGCCCATGCCTCTTCTGATATTCAAAGCTACTAGGCAGCCCTGCTTCTGACAAATGCTGGATGTCTCCCATTTAATGTACCTGGGCAGCATCAAACATTTCTATGCGAGCCTCATTTGGAAACATCAAAGGCAGGTGAGAGAATGTGGAGAAGTTTCCTTTCCTGGCGAAGCTTTGGCTATGGGAAAGATGGAGTACTTGATATACAGACAGAGTACACATGCCTCTTCTCCTGCTGCTTTGGGGAAGAACAAAAGTTTGTACCCATTGTCACATCATGGCCCAGTGTTTCTGCATCAGCACGTGCTTGTGGCCAAGACTCATTCCACGTCCCTTCCTGGAAGAAATGCTGACTTCTTTTTTTTTTTTTTTAAGATTTTATTTATTTATTTGAGAGACCTGGAGCGCAGTAGAGAGAGA